AGTATCCAAATGATCAATTCATTAATTTAATCTTGAGAGGTACGCTCCACTTAGTTTTACTGTAAAATTTTTTATCTCGTTTACGTCAGAAGTTGTCCATCCTCGCTTTTTTTATCTCTCTCTACTCTCTCTCTCTCTCTCTCTCTCTCTCTCTCTCTCTCTCTCTGAACATGAAAATGAACCATAAACATTCAGACTAAATTCACAATCTACTGCTCTACTTTGATATTCCTGTGTTCCCTTTAAGTTTAATTATCACTTAGGACTGTGTATCCATTTTAGGGTCATTACTGTACTTATGTAAATTGTACTTTAAATGAAGTCGCAAATAGGTCTATCAGTTCCAGTTCTGTATTTTCAATCCCTTCAAATGAAATAACATTTTCATATTACCCTTTACAAACCGCAGCTACCTCTCTTGACGGTGCTAGTGAGTCTAAAAGATACCGCTGGCAATTTAAAGAAGCAGATTCCTGTACTTGGAGAAATTTCGGCTCTTCTGACAATGTTGTTTTGGAAAATCTTTACTGTGGCGTGGAAAATGTGGAAGTCAACATAAAACTTAAAGACACCACAATAAGGTGAGTAAAAAGATAGATCTAGTGAACATTACAGGGTAACGTTTTTATCTACTCATGAAAGGTATAATTTTCAACACCTTTGGCCAGAAATCTTCGAGAAATTTAGTTGAAAATGATATATTTAAAAACACACATTTCCAAAATCTTCGGTCGTTTGATTTTTTTTTTAGAGGAGGGTTTAGAGCGGTTTGATTTCGAGAAAAATACTGCCAAAATGAATGTCACAGAGGCTCCACGGAAGCCTACAGTAATTTCTCGGGCGAACTTTAAATACTTTAGTAGCTTCCCGTACTAGCTTCTATTGCCTCAGTTATCTAGTGCGGCATTTAATCTTGTATCAAGGTTTAGGTTAGTTACTATTTTTCTGAGGCCTGATTGTACAAGCGACGCAGAATGAGACGAGGCGAAACGAAAAAAGATTGGAAACAGTTGTACTAAAACGCCTCAGGCTGCGAGCAGGTTCACATTGATGAGACAAAAGAGCAAAGGAGGAAAACGACAGGACTGAGAGGGGTCTGGAACTAATGTTTGTGCCCGAAAGAAGGCGGATTTCACGCAAGCTCACATGGCCGTCGGTTCGCTCAAACGCTCGAGCTTGACCGCTCGTGGCGAAGCGCTAATTTGAGCTTGCAAATAGAACAAACACGCTGCAGCTTGCTAACACAACACTAGGAGCAGGCAAACGCATTCTCAGTTTTTGTTTTTCGTTTCTTTTCAGACATTTCAGAAAGCGACTGGTGAAGATGTCAGCCAACTTTCAGACAATGTCCATGAGTCTGATCTCCACCTCCAAACAGTTTCTGATTCGTCGATGCTCAACACCATCTTACATCAAAGAACGCAACAACGAGTTTCCTACATTGTGGGTTTGGTATTGGGAAGACATCGATGGGTGGAAGAAATATGCCGAAACGGGTGTAAGTAGCGGTAACTGCTACTTAACGATATGATTAAGCAATGGTATGCTTCTTTCTCAATTGGCTGTAATTGTCTATTTTGAATCGCAGTGAATTTGCACGGCTTCAAATTACGTTTACTTTAATGATTTACATTCCCCTACCCAGATACTTTAAGTAGGCAAAGGAACAGACTTTCATTTGAAAAATAAAAGTTCAAAGACAGCAGCAAAAAAACCATTGCATATGATACCGTAAGATGAAAACAAAAAGATAAGAGAAATCCTGTGGATGAGGTTTCATGGTTAGAGATGTTCCCAACTCAAAAAGTCTTCAAACTTCTTTTCTTAGCTTTGTTCTGGGACAAAACAAGAGCAAATAGAAATTTCGTATCTAAATGGAGACCTTAGTTACTTATTTCAAATCGGAGGGAAAGATTTCATCATCCATTTTGAAGATGACCTTATGAACCAAAGGAGCGCAGATACAGATGTCCAAGCGGGTCGGCTCGTCAGAAGAAGACCAATGTTTGTTTCAGAATCAACTCTGCAGACTACAAAGAGGTGGGTGAACGCAGAATGTGGTCTAATTAGAAAGAGTTACTAATTTTTTTCACAAGTCACTTAAAGAGAGACTAGTTCTTTAAGCTGTCCCAGGGCGGAACTAGGCTTTCGATCGGTGAAAAGCCGAATTATAATAATGGTGATGATGATAATGATGATTTTAATAATTGACAGTAAGTGGATGGTCCGTTCTGCAGTATTGCCTATCCATCTGTTCTCCATTAACTAAATTCAAGCAACTGCAACTTTGGCAAGATGTTTGCAGTAACATGTTATGCCACCCGGTTAGCTCAATGGATAGAGCGCTGGACTGTTGTGCTGGAGGTCGAGGGTTCGAGCCCCGGCCGGACCAACACTCAGGGTCTTAAAATAATTGAGAAGAATTTGCTACCTTTCTATAACATCAAGAAATGGTTAGATATTCTAGTCTTCTCGGATAGGGACGAATAAATGGAGGTCCCGTCTCCTGCAGGGTTGGGGTAGGAGACGTTAATTTCCCACACACGAGATTACTGTGTGATGGATGTCCTCCCCTGGGGTGGGATGGGTGGGATATTGGGCGCACTTAATTTGGAGCCTCCCTCTGTTGTGCGACCCTCACCATACTCTGGTGAAAGTGATTAAATAAATATCATCCCCTCTATTTTGCGACTGACTGAGAACTTGACCCAGTTTGAATAGCTCACCATATCAAAAACCTTTGACTTTTTCCTGTGTTGATTTTTATTCATAGAATAGTCCTTGATGAAGTGGGTAGGGGAAAAGTGTGTAGGAAATGGAAATGTGTAATTTGTCGATTTTAGGTTCATTCTGATAAACTTTTAGAAATCATCAAAACAGTGGTAAGTAATACCTCGACGCTTTCAATAATACTCAAGGGCTCTGAATCCCGTCTAACCACACCCATTCGCGTTCTCTATCCATTTTTTGTTATTGCAGCGGAATTCCAGAAGGTCAGGCTATGAACTTTGAACGGACTAATCTGGATAAGGACTGCAAAGCATACCGAACTGTGAGTCAAAGCTTCCACAAAACAATGCCGGAACACCAGGCCTCTATACTGATGGTGGAAGAAATAACAAATGATGATTTATTCCACAAATACAAAAGGTAATTGTTGAGGATAGGCTAAAGGGGGAAAAATAATATGATAAGTGCACCAGACCTTGTTCGTAATTGATACTTCGTAGGTTCATGAAGCCTAGGGTGTTGGCATCAACTCACTTGCAAAGTTAATCTTACGTGTTATTTCTGCAGCATGGAAAGAATATAATCAGTGCACAAAGAGGGCTAAAGTAATGTTGTTTTAGACGTAGACTCTCATTAGCTAAGCTTTTTTAATGTTCACTTCTTTATCTAGAGAGCTCAAGAATATGAAGAAGAAAGGAAAACCTTGGCGTGAAAAGTTGTTGTTCCATGGTACTACATCAGATGTTGTTGATGCCATCTGCACACAAAATTTTGATCCCGGAATGTGTGGGAAGAATGGGACACAGTATGGGCATGGATGCTATTTTGCTGTAGACGCATCTTACAGCAATAACTACAGCATTACTGCTCGAGAGAGAACGAGATACATGTTTCTGGCAAAAGTGTTGACAGGAGAATTTAAGCGTGGAGAGCAAAGCTTTTATCGACCACCATTGAAGGATCCGAGCAATCCGGCAGGTGATGTGTACGATTCTTGTGTTGACGACGAAAATCAACCAAAGATCTTTTTAATTTTTAATGACGAACAGTGCTATCCTTTGTATTTGATTAAGTATCAGCTGTTATAGTTTTAGGTATTAAAGCCAATTGGTACTGCAAAAAGTCAGTTACTAGCGCGTTAACCTATTTAGACCCAAGAAGATCATAAAATGAAATCCCATCGAGTATATTAAAATTAAACAATTATCAAGTGGGAGATAAGTAATTTAAAACAATAAAAAAAAAAAACGTGAGAATACTAGCTTGAAGTGCCATTTAATTCTTACAACTTACTTGTAGAGAAAAGTATAGTGATAACTGGAGAGAGTTAATCACTGTCTGGATATAGATCCTCGCGCATGTCAAAAGATCTACAATGCACGTGCTGAAATTCGTCCACATAATGTTACTTTAGACTGACCATTGTCAGAATATCTAACCAGCAAATTGACGTAAGAAGGTTCTTCTTTCAAAGAAAAAATACTTACGTGTAGAAGGTAGGATTAAAGTTCTAAAAGAGGTGACTTCAAGGTTTTCTGTCAGTAGACCTGATAGGAGTAGTTAGGCTAAGTGTTCGTTCTGTTTATTATTGCGATCAAACAAAATTTAAGTGAAGTTTTGCTATTGATGGCAGACTCCCAGTGTCCATGAACATTGTAGTGATTTTATGTTCTTTGCGTAAAGGGAAAATCATAGTTTAAATTTCGTTATTAGAAGCCTGCCGAGGGGACTTTGAAAGGACTTAGTCCACGCGAAATATTGAAATAGGGGAGGGGGGGTTATGTATACGTTCAGGGATAATATTGATTTTATCGCATTCTGTTACTCACTCTATATCATCTTCTCATATCCAGGCCAAATATCTTGGCCTGCCCCCCTCCCCCCCCTCCCCCTCCACATAATCCCCCAAAGGTCGAAATGGAAAGACACCGTAATATATCCCCGAAATGGAAAGACACCCGTGCTGGCCGTGACCTTAGTGTTACACAACAGTTTATAATGTCTTGCCTTAAATCAGTGTCTTCTGGTTGGCTGGCGGTAGTCATATGAATAGTTCATGACTCATGACAGGTCTTCCGATTGTCAGAACTCTTTTTACTCGTTCTCAACAATTAAATATAACGCTCTGTAAAATCAGCTAAAAAATTAACGCATGCGAAATCGATTCTTGGAAAGCACAACAGGAACGAACCTGTTTTTGTCATTGGAACAAACCTAGATAATTTTCACGTACAATTTTACTGCACGGCATATATTGAAATACGAAATCATTGACTGTTTTGGCAATGTTGGCCGATTCAGGGGCTGGAAGTGGTATGCGAACGATCCCATGTTGCTTCCGAGACACGTGTCTTTGAATCTATTTCAATCGCATTTGAAGACTGACAAATGAATCACCAATCAAAAGAGTGCAGAAATTTAAAAAGGTGGAGAAACAAGCGGATGAAAAATAACACTAAGATGAACAGGCTATTTAAGAGATGAAATATATCTATCTCTTATTAGACGTTTTGTTGTGTAGTATCGCTGAGTATTTTTACGAGTTGTGCCGTATTTTGACGAGCCTGTAAGGCGAGTCAAAATACAAACAACGAGAAAATTAATTGTTAACCTTCTTTTCTCTGCTAAATCTACGAATTTTTAATTAGTATCTGATCTATTGTATTTCACTTATTTTTGACGTTATTCACTATATTGGTCATTTGATAATTTATTTAGTTATTTTAGTTATTTAGTAGCCTTGTGACTGAAAAAGCCTTTTAGGGAGTTGCAATAAAGTATGTCTGTACGTATGTATGTACAACAAAGCGTCTACTTAGAAATTGATTATCCAACACGGATATTTCTGGAGTACAAATATCGCGTGATATTTGTACTCTTTTAACGCGTTATTTGTACTCTACGAAGCACATTTAGATAATAAACAATTGCTATTACACGGTCGGGGGAAGATTTAAATTTCATATCCGGGTCTTCGTAACCAGTGACCGCAGCGAACAAGTGAGATACTGCTCTTGTCACGAGAACATGAAATTCACCTCTTTGAGCTAACATGTAATTTTCTTTTTCTCGTGTTTTTATGTGGAAAATAAATATACATGGTAGATATTGAAAAGCTGGCTTTTGAAACAGCTACTGAATATTAATACACACAAAAATACTCGTGTTACATACGAAAAAATACGCCACGCGGTACCCGAATGCAGCGGTCAACTGATTCTCCAAGCGTTTTAGTTCTCCGTAAAACACTCCTGCCAAAACAATTTCTTTTATGTAAATATTTTCTTTATACTGACACCTAATGCTTTAGTTCAATCAACGTTCTAACACTGTGAATGAACGACAACGAAGTAACCCACATTTTGAAATCCAAAAAATCAGTCTGCCGAAGTAATACCTAGAACTTTGAGTTGGCTTGCATTCGCTGTATTTTTCTGTATGCATACTTTTTCTAAGAACGTTCACGTCTTAATGACTCCAACACAGAATGGATTTCTCGGAACCAAATCATGACGAGAAACATTTGTTTGCACATTTTTTTTCAGCGATGCCTTTGTTGCACCCAGAATGCCCTGCGTTGTTGAGTGTATGACCTTCTCGGATATTCCCGAATATTTTAAACGGAGTTTATCGATGAATCGAAAGTGCCCCTACATGACAACATACGGTCCACCGCATTTGCTATTCTTCTAGTAATTATTTCAAGCGAACGATAGCTGCGAGGGGTAAGTTTTGCAGCCTTTTCCATTTATTTGATCGCTTTTAATCTCTTACTATTCTTACTATTCGAGGAAGCTATTGACGATATCAGCGATACGAGGATCATTTCGGCCTTTTGAAGTTAAAAAGACCAAAATGACCCTCGATACCCAAGCGGTCAAGTGTTGCCAAAGGGAGTAACCTCAGTCGTAAATTCTACGTTCGATATGATCTACAGAACATTTCAGAAAGGGTAACCGATCATTTAACATACTTTTCTCCCAAGTATGATCTGATTGTTATTAATTTAAGATTTTGCAGTCAAACCATACCGCGAGCTGTGTACGACACAAAAACTTAATTTTACTGTTCTTGATTTGAAAATCAATCTCTCAAGTTTCCATTGCTTGGTTAAGATTTGTAAAAGCAACAAAATTCGGCACTTCACTCGTGAGAACCCACAATCTAAGTCATTAACGATAGATGTGAAAGCGAAAACGGAACTAACTGTTGATGTGTCGTGTTATGAGAAGGTTGACGAAGTGTAAAAGATACAAGAAATTATTTAAGTGGCAAGAGTTCCGGTGACATTAAAGTAACCAAGAGGCACTTTGATTCGTTTCGTAGCGTCTTGTGAGACCAAGCCAAGGGTCATTCATGACAATATGGATCGTCTAAAGCGACATTCGTCGGCTGCTGATGAAGCTATAATGATGATCAAGATTGTTATCTTTGTTTCCTTGAGTATATTTGCCATTCAGCTTGGTTTTCACTTCTCTCTGTTGTTGATCTGGAAGTTTATGCATACAAGTATCGTGCCATGTCTTATGTCGACTAAAATAAGAGCCATCTTGTTGAGGAGTGCATGTATCTTGGTCGCCCTAATGCCGATTACTCAAAAGATTATCGCAAGAGCTATAGCGGGGAGTGCACGTATCCTGGTCGCCCTTAGGGCGATTGTCACAGACACTATCGGAAGAGTTATTGTGTGGAGTAAACGTACCCTGGTCGCCCTTTCGTCGACTGCTGCGGTGATAATCTCAAGAGCTATTGAGCTTACCCTGGTCGCCCTTAGGCCGATTGTAGCACAGTTTATCGTAAGAGTTAAAGTGTGGAGTAAACGTATCCTGGTCGCCCTTAGGACGATTATCGAAGAGACTATCGTAAGAGTTATTGGGTGGAGTTCACGTAAACTGGTCGCCTTCTCAAAAAGTAAGTTGTTATCTGGTGATTTGGTTCTGACAACTGTACGGACGCATTGATTGACTAGCAAGAGATTGACGGATGGACATAAATCTTTGTCAGACCGACTGCTAATTCGCAATCGCTGCAAACTGAGCGTTCCTTAATAGGCATGAATAGATTGTGCTGGTAAATCCAGCAAAAGTTGCTTGACAATACACCCGGAAGTTGCTCAGAAATTTAAAATTTGTCACCCGAATTTAAAAAAGTTGCTTACTTTTGAGAGTCATTCTGTTTTAGATTACTACTCAAAATATCACGTTATATGTGTAATTTAACATCATTCGTTGTGATCAATATAATCTCAACGTAACTAATAACACAAAGTGTTCTCTTATGACGTTTTGGATAGTCTTTCACGCGATCCGAAGCACCTGTTGTGGCTTTCCTGGAGGACGAGGTCGAGCTACCGCTTCTCGTTGTTTGTACAGCCTTCGTTGACGTGAATTTTGCGCTTTCTAGAAATCGTAGCTCTTGCAGGACTATTAAGCGTTGCCCAAGTGGCTATGGTAGCCTTAATAGGGTCAATGTCTGTATTATTTTCATTTTCCTCGTCAGACATTTCAGCTTCTGATTTTGATGCCTCGGAAGCTCTATTGTTGGAGTGTATAACCGCTGGATATAAGCGCCCGTTAGATAGATATATTTTCTTCTTTTTGTGCAATTGAACTAAAATTTTCAGTGAATTTTCTCTTCTATTTGTGCTGTGTTGTGAAGATAAAAAAAAGCATTTATGTCAAAGTGTATGAATCTCATTTCAATATTTTGAGAGTGAGGAGTGCCAAAATAGTGTTCATTTCAGGGATAAAATGTTGGTTTTCTGAAAAAAATGAT